CCAAATCTATTCTTTATTCAGTAACATTTATGCATTCTCTGACTATATTCAGTAGTATGAATATAACACAATTATATAGAGCCCAAATTTAAAATTTATTATATTCAGAATACAGATATAGAATAAAAATGTAATTACTGTATTTAGAAAAATTTCTACAAATAAAAATATTAGAAACTTTAAATTTGTTCATAAAACTATTAATTCAAAATTGTTAATTTTTTTTGATTAATTATGTAAAATGTTTAATATTATGTATGTATAGCTTTTTCAATCTCTAATTTTTGAAAATATCACAATTTATCATAGAAACATAAAATTGTTATGTAACTAAACTTATATTTATATATATTCTTTTATACACTCAAAGATAAAACTTTAGAATGTGATAGCATTTTTAATTCTTGATTGTCATCAATTACTAACATTACTAACTTATATAATTTTATTCTTTATAATACAATTAATACATAATAAAAAAAAATTTAAAGTTTGCTTATGATTAAAAAATATATTGGAAAAACTAATATTTATTGGAGGTATCTGCATTTTGTTTAATACTCTTTCATCAGATAAAGTTGCTGCACTTTAAGATAATTCAAACTGATATCAATTGAATTTATCAAACATTTATCTTTACAAGAAAATACTTGAGAGGAGAATGGCTTATACTTATACATCTTAAAATTATAAACTAAATTAAGGCTTCTGGTATCTGTCAGATACCATACAGTATTGAAAGTTTATAGATTTTAAAAAAAAAATTTTTTAATTCAGTAATAATTCAGTTTTAGTAAACATTATTTTGTCAATATTATTATTAAACTTAGTCTGTATTTTGTGTAAATTTTCAGTATATTCAGATTATAAAATAAATAATTATTGATATTAAATTATTAGAAATATTACTATTTGAAGCATGCAATGTCATGTTGTGAATGCCATTTTTCTCTAAATATATTTTATTGAAGAATTGCATTCTAAATTCAATGCTTTCTTCTGAAAAAAATATTGTGGTGTTATTTGCACTGTAAGTGGCTGTATTTTAAAGTTGAATTCATGTGAAGCCATAACATTTAAAGCAGCAAAGTGTAAGTCACGTAACTTTTGGCACCTAAAACGTTACAGCTTATATTTAAATCGTTTTGATATTCCAGAGAATTTGTAACCTAATGAGTTTTTCCATTTTATTGTAAAATTGAAATGAATTCATTCACTAGAAAAAGTGTTTTTTGGCATTTACAACATTGACGTTGCATGCTTCATATATTAAAATAATAATATTTTATGAATTTTTATTCTTAAAAAGTTATTCTTTATATATTAGAGAACCAAAAAGGAAAAAATTTCTCATTTCATTTTTTCTTCTACATCACTATTCAATATTTAATGCTTTCTATATTCACTACAGGCTTTATTTATGTACTAATAATAAACTTTTCATGTCCTAAAAGTTGCTTATTTAATATAAATTTCTCATTATATGATCCTGTGTCCTGATGATGGATGATTATCTGAAGGTGCTCAGTGTTTAATTTTTGTGTTTTAATGCTCTACAAAAAAAAATAGTAAAATGATTTTCTGTAATAATAGGGGTTTCTAAATCAACCCTGAAATATTTGAAGATTTTGCATCATCTTTATAAACAAAATTAATAAAATGATTGCTTAGCAATACATTAAATATAATTTTATCAAAATATAAATAGAAAAAAACTATTTTGTACAATAAAAAAAAATGAAATTTGTTCATTATATAAATCTATAAAAAAGTTAACTTTAAATCTAAATTAGTTAACAATATACTTTGGTTAATTTAGATAACAATAATAATTTACCAAATTGAATTTTGCAAATAAAATGAAAACTGAATGAATCTACTTTTTAATGTATTGAGTTTAATAGTATAGTGCTTTTCATAATTTATTATACTACAATAATGAATAAAGTCCTAAATAATGTAACGGGTGGCCAATCTGCGGCTCGTGAGCCATATGCGGCTCTTCGAAGGATTATTTGTGGCTCTCAATAAATTTACTGTACCCAAGTTCCCTTTTCATTTTTGTGTTATTATATTTTAAAAAATTATTATCATCCGTATGTGTTTCAAATGTCTTTTAAATTACTAACAACAAATATGAAAGACTAAGTGCAACAAATTTCATTTCCGTCCAAGTTAAGAATGATATGACTCATCGAAAACTGTGTGAACGAACATAAACAGTGGCGTAATCGTCCGTTATCGACTGACTCCAGACTGATTTTGAATTTGTAAACTGTCATTGCAATGGACAGTTGACATTGTGCTCTGAAGGAAACAAGTTGTATCACTCTTGCTACGGATATATTTTGTAATTGGAATTTTTTGCATACCTTTAATTGCGGCTCGCGAAAAATTTCAATTTTGAAAAATGGCTCGGACTATCAAGGAGCTTGGCCACCCCTGCTATATAGTANGTAAAATGGTTAACCTTCTATTACTTATTCAAGCTTTTATAATAATCATCACTTGTTAGGAGTTTGAATAAAATTAATGATTTTAGAAAAATATGTGAAAATTAGCATTATGCTGTCATTTAAAAGATTAAACTGAGTAAATTTAGGAAACCAAATCTATTCTTTATTCAGTAACATTTATGCATTCTCTGACTATATTCAGTAGTATGAATATAACACAATTATATAGAGCCCAAATTTAAAATTTATTATATTCAGAATACAGATATAGAATAAAAATGTAATTACTGTATTTAGAAAAATTTCTACAAATAAAAATAGAAACTTTAAATTTGTTCATAAAACTATTAATTCAAAATAATTAATCAAAAAAATTAACAATGTAAAATGTTTAATATTATGTATGTATAGCTTTTTCAATCTCTAATTTTTGAAAATATCACAATTTATCATAGAAACATAAAATTGTTATGTAACTAAACTTATATTTATATATATTCTTTTATACACTCAAAGATAAAACTTTAGAATGTGATAGCATTTTTAATTCTTGATTGTCATCAATTACTAACATTACTAACTTATATAATTTTATTCTTTATAATACAATTAATACATAATAAAAAAAAATTTAAAGTTTGCTTATGATTAAAAAATATATTGGAAAAACTAATATTTATTGGAGGTATCTGCATTTTGTTTAATACTCTTTCATCGGATAAAGTTGCTGCACTTTAAGATAATTCAAACTGATATCAATTGAATTTATCAAACATTTATCTTTACAAGAAAATACTTGAGAGGAGAATGGCTTATACTTATACATCTTAAAATTATAAACTAAATTAAGGCTTCTGGTATCTGTCAGATACCATACAGTATTGAAAGTTTATAGATTTTAAAAAAAAAATTTTTTAATTCAGTAATAATTCAGTTTTAGTAAACATTATTTTGTCAATATTATTATTAAACTTAGTCTGTATTTTGTGTAAATTTTCAGTATATTCAGATTATAAAATAAATAATTATTGATATTAAATTATTAGAAATATTACTATTTGAAGCATGCAATGTCATGTTGTGAATGCCATTTTTCTCTAAATATATTTTATTGAAGAATTGCATTCTAAATTCAATGCTTTCTTCTGTAAAAAAATATTGTGGTGTTATTTGCACTGTAAGTGGCTGTATTTTAAAGTTGAATTCATGTGAAGCCATAACATTTAAAGCAGCAAAGTGTAAGTCACGTAACTTTCGGCACCTAAAACGTTACAGCTTATATTTAAATCGTTTTGATATTCCAGAGAATTTGTAACCTAATGAGTTTTTCCATTTTATTGTAAAATTGAAATGAATTCATTCACTAGAAAAAGTGTTTTTTGGCATTTACAACATTGACGTTGCATGCTTCATATATTAAAATAATAATATTTTATGAATTTTTATTCTTAAAAAGTTATTCTTTATATATTAGAGAACCAAAAAGGAAAAAATTTCTCATTTCATTTTTTCTTCTACATCACTATTCAATATTTAATGCTTTCTATATTCACTACAGGCTTTATTTATGTACTAATAATAAACTTTTCATGTCCTAAAAGTTGCTTATTTAATATAAATTTCTCATTATATGATCCTGTGTCCTGATGATGGATGATTATCTGAAGGTGCTCAGTGTTTAATTTTTGTGTTTTAATGCTCTACAAAAAAAAATAGTAAAATGATTTTCTGTAATAATAGGGGTTTCTAAATCAACCCTGAAATATTTGAAGATTTTGCATCATCTTTATAAACAAAATTAATAAAATGATTGCTTAGCAATACATTAAATATAATTTTATCAAAATATAAATAGAAAAAAACTATTTTGTACAATAAAAAAAAATGAAATTTGTTCATTATATAAATCTATAAAAAAGTTAACTTTAAATCTAAATTAGTTAACAATATACTTTGGTTAATTTAGATAACAATAATAATTTACCAAATTGAATTTTGCAAATAAAATGAAAACTGAATGAATCTACTTTTTAATGTATTGAGTTTAATAGTATAGTGCTTTTCATAATTTATTATACTACAATAATGAATAAAGTCCTAAATAATTTAACTTTACTTATTGAAGAAATGTAGCTTAAACTATTATTTTTTTTATATTTTGAACTGCCTTCTTATATATTGAAATATAATCTGAATGATAACTGAAATGAAAAATTAAGAATTATAAATTAATGTAGATAAGAATTAATTTTATTATTAATTTTTAGTCCTATTCTTTTATACTTTATGAATACATTAATTTATAAATGAAAATACATACAATATCAAATTTTGTGCATATTTGTTGTTTTTATTTAAGTACTTTTATAGATAATATAATAATAAAATTCAAATTATTGTTAAATTGAAACTTGAAATTACTTGTTAGATATTCTGCATAGTAAGTACATAAACAAGAATTAAAGTTTTGATTATATTATAATTTAGTCTGTTTAATTTTTAAAAAAATTTTTTTCTAAACTATAATTTTTTTTCTTAAAATAGGGCAGTGTAACTGCTATGACTACATTTTATCCTCTTGATACTGTTCGGTCTCGACTTCAAGGTAAGATGTAGTGTTTATTATTAGTCTAATTATTATTATTATTATAAAAGCTAATTTTTTACATAAAATACTTTTGTATATAAAATAGTTGAAGATAGAGATGCAAAGAATACATGGACATTGCTTCAAGAATTCATCAGAGAAGAAGGATTGTAAGTGAATTAGATGTGTATGATGGTAATTTCTATTTCATCTTTGAAGAAAAATTATTAAAAGTAAATAAGTAATAAGTTTTTGTTTGTTTTTTTAAGTGAATCCTTATATCGAGGTCTGGGACCTGTTTTAACTAGTCTGTGCTGTTCTAATTTTGTATATTTTTACACTTTCCACGGTTTACGTTCTGTATATAAAAGGGATGCAAAATCACATAGTGCATTGACAGATTTGGCTTTAGCTTCAATTGCAGGTATAATTTATTGTTTCATATAAAGTTTATAATTAAATATTTATACTGAAGTTCATTTGTTCCTCAGGTGCAGTGAATGTACTACTTACAACACCATTATGGGTAGTAAACACTCGATTAAGGCTGCAAAATATAAAATTGAAGTTAGAAGACAGAAAATCTTCAGATTATTCTCATTACAAAGGAATAATTGGTAAATTTTAATTAAATGTAATATAATTATATTAAACACAAAAATATAAAATATTAATATTTATAATAATTCTATAATATTTATACTTTGATAACAGATTTATATAAGTTAAGATGAATTTTTTCATAAAAACAATACATAATTCTTTTTTACTAGCAAATGTTTATAATATAATAATATATAACATACAGTAGTTTAGTTTTGAATTCTTTATGAGAATGTTGTTTATATTCTGGAATCTTCATTATAATAAAATTTTAAATTCATTTATTGTATAAACTTCTTGGTATTTTCATCATTACACAATTATAACAACAACAAAATGATAAAAATAACAGTAGTAATAATTACTATTAAATTTTGTAATAATTATTATATTTTTTCTGCACTGGTCCAAATACAGTAGAGCATTGATTATCCGAAACAATTCAGGACTGGGATTGTTCAGATAATTGATTTTTTGGAAAACTGATCATTTATGAAAAGTATATTAAATACAAAACTGTACTGTATATATTTTGAATCGCATGTCTTACAAATTCATACCTTACATACCTTACATAAAGTAGTACATTAAAGTAGGCCTACAGTTCAGGTTGGCAAGGAGGGAGAGAATATTGCAACACCACATCTGTAGCAGAAATTTGAATTTACCGATTGGAACGCTTTCGGTTAACTGATGTTTCAGTTGATCAGTATTTGGATAATTGATGCTCTCCTGTATATATAAAATAGTTTAACATAATCGCTCTGATTTTATATTTCTAATGTAATTTTTTATCAGTTTGTTCTATTCTAATGATTTCTGAATTAAAGTCAAAGATGCAAATAAACTTTAAAGAATAACATTTAGAATTGATTTTAAATTTCAGATGGACTTTGTCAGATTAAAAAAGTGGAAGGTTGGAAAGGAATTTATGGAGGTTTAGTTCCCTCTTTAATATTAGTTAGTAATCCAGCTCTTCAGTTTATGATTTATGAGTCACTAAAAAGAAGAATGTCTAAGGGATCTGAATCAAAGGTTTGTCATTTTTTAATTATATAGTGTGTTCTGCTGGAAAGTACCCAATTTGATTTGACTATAAAAAAATTAATGGTTAAAGATAAGTTCACCAAAGATTTTGAGAGAAAATACTCACCAAATTTCGTTAAAAAAAATCACCATATCTCTGTGTTCTCAAGCAGTCACAGTGACATTGTCAAGATGGGAGGCAATTTCTATGCTGCAGCATGTCCTGTCTCACAATGGCAATCATTGCAATAATGTGCTTCCGATGATCCTGAAGTTCTCTGATTGAAGTTGCATAAACCATATTTTTCACATAACCCCACAGAAAGAAATATGAGTAGGATCAGATCAGGAGATCTTGGTACTTTTGGGCATACCAGACCATGTCCTGTGCTTTCTCCTGTGGCAAAGCCATGACTGGACAATAATACTCATAATTTGGCTTCTGCACCATCTTTATGAAAAAAAATCTCTATAAAACTTGGTGAGTTTCCCACCATATGCAACTTGTTGCTATTATATATCTTAAATCATTCATTTTTTAATGGCAAATTAAAATGGGTACTTTGAGTGAATTATTATATCCTGTATAATAAACTTTTCTAATAATCTGTCAAAGCCAAATGATTGCTAAAGTATATCAATACACACACACACACACACACACCCTGATATAATTTAGCAATCATTTGGCTTTGACAAATGTGTATATATGTCATGATTTGAACTAATGACAAATTAGTTTTATATAACTTTGTGTTCACTAGCTTGTTGGACTGCATTCTTACTTTATCAGGTGCTCCTATGGTGTATTATTTTCTGAACACCCACCAATATAATAAATATCTGTATATATATATATATATATATATATATATGCNTGAAAATATGTTTATTAAAAAAATTCAATATTTGTTTTATATTATATTTATATTATATAACAAAATTGTGGTACAGAACTGCAGTACAGAATAAAAAAGTACAGAACTGCAGATCCCGTGCATTTTGCAAAACCTACATTTCGACTCCCACTGAACTCTTGCTTGCCCACCCCTGTTATATGGCATTGCTTTCTTGTGCAGACAGAAGTCAAGACATGCATATTTTTTCTAATGTACCATTCACAGCTGAATATGAAATGATAATCAGCCAATCAATCAAATTTTGTAAAAAAATGGACAAAATATTTAACTTGTTATCCTCAATCCCCTAAAAACATGTTTTGTGCATGCTGGTAACTTTGTATTAAGTAATTTTCCTATTTGAATGCAACCATCATGCTGGTCAGATAGAAAAGGGCCTTTTGTGGCTGGGATTGAAGTTAATTTAACCTCAGCCACAAAACTAGTAGTTGATCTCTTCTGGATGAGAGGTTAGTCCTTTAAAAGTTTCATTGCATTTGCTCAAACCCATGTTGAAATGTTTAAAGAACAAACAAACTTTATTCTTTGTACAGGACATAATTATATCTACTATATAAATTTTTCAAGATATATTTTCAATCTCCTATTTCACGTGTATTTAGAAAACTTTCATAACAAAGTTAATTTTTTTTAAATTAATATTCTAAAGGAGCAAAACATTTCAAAAGAATTTCATTAATTTTTTTCCTGCTGGTTATTTTAATCAGAGGAATATTAATTAAATAAAGGAAAGTATTAAAATATTTTTCCTTTATTTTAATTGGTACTTTTCTGATGATTTAAAAAAGATATTGACATTTGGGCTCTTGAAAGTACAGTATTCAACTACAGTAGATGCAGGCTAATTGGGACACATGGAACTAGCACACTGTCCAGTTAATAACTTCCTCAGTTATGCAAAGTTTAGTGTTAAAAAAATATAAAAAATAAGTTACTGTTTTTTGACCAACAAGATAAAAAATTCTGGAATGAATGGTACAGATTAGAAAGATATTTATGCTAAAAATAATTTTAATTCAATATATATTTCTTTAATAATAAACGACGCTTTTAACCCACGACTATAAATTAGATAGAGTTAGATAACCTAATAAATAGGATTTAACAATTTCGAGGGCTTATCATACCAAGGCTGATAGAAAGAAGGACCAGAACTTTTACAGAAAAGTTAGTCTTTAATAATCACATTTCAAATTTAAGTAAGGATGCATTTCGGGTACAAGGACCCTTCATCAGCTTACGAACACATGTCAACAACATAATAATTATAACACCAATAGTTAACCAATACAAAGGAATATCTAATATATGCAGTGCACTGTATTTACAATTTTTAATGTAACCCATATGCTAAAAAAATTTAAAACTATTGAGCACAAGATTTTAATATCAATACAATGACAATGTAATATCACATATTATTTGGGACCAATAAATGCTTTATTTTCTCCTACATTTTGTAAAAGTTCTGGTCCTCCTTTCTGTCGGCCTTGGTGTGATAAACCCTCCAAATTGTTAAATCCTATTTATTAGGTTATCTAACTATATCTAGTATATATTTCTTTATTGCACTTTAAAGATTAAACACACTACTTAAAACATTTGTTACAATTGCTTAAAGGATTTAGTTTACCAATTTTCTGCAATATAATGTCTTTAAATTTTTCATTAATTCCGATTTACATTGATTGCATCAAGGATGTTATGTTTGGAAACAAATTCTAATGAATTATTTTTAAACCGTTTAAATGAGAATGTGTCACATAGTAGACAAGACACAACAGAACTTTTCTTCACTTTTATTATAGTTCCATTGTTCCAACTCATTAGTCATTTCTTAAAAATTTCAGAAATCCACTTTTTTTTTTTTTTAATATAATACAGAACTGTTAAACTGTTTATTCTCGGTCCCTTAAAGTAACAAGACTTAAATGCTTTTCCAATAACAAAAAGCTTTCATGTAAAAAATCTTTCCTTTCTGGCATATTTTAACAGCATGACACAGCTCAGGAAATCATCCAATATTTGCATATTGGATGATTTCCTGAGCTATTCTGGAAGCTATCTGGCATGGCATGGCAAAACATGTCTGTATCATTAGTATTATAATGTTATCTGCACAAAATTTATGAAGCAAATTGGACAGTTTTGTGGATATCTGTCAATTAGTAATTAAAATATCAACATTGTTGTTTTCGTCATTTGCTTTTTTTCAGTTAATATTGTGTCAAGATTTCTACTGAGACAACCAACAATATGATGCTTTCAAGTATTTGGGCTTTAGATTTACAATTACCTAAACTTTTCTTAGTTTTCATCATTGGACCACTGACACATACATCTCATTCAGTTAAGGTGGTGGTAGTAGTAGTAGTAGTAGTAGTAGTACAGGTATCACTCTTTGGTAAAACCTATGTTATGGAAAAGGGGGAAGTTAGGGAGTAGGAAAGAAGGGGTGGGGGTAAGAAAGGAAAAGGTTGGGATTCATGAGTGTCCCATGACAGTGCTTTATAAGGAAATGTTCAGTAGAAAATACAATAACAATAATAAGAATGTTACAGAGGAATACATGTTGGAAGTGCTACGTTACAAATTGCAAATAACACTAACATATGTACAGACAATAGCATATATACAGTATGCAGATTAATGTTGGTACAAGAAATTACATGTTGAGTGCTGTCTGTCAAATTGCAGATAGCCCAAACAAATTATTAGGTTACAAACATATTTACAATTGACATTCCTAGGATTACACTAAAAGCACAGACATAGTGATTTTTATTAATGTGTGGTGTTAACATTGTAGTTCAGTAGATTTGTATGGCTACAAGGGTTCACCGCTGACTAAGTGCCTCTTGTTCTCTCTGTAAGCACTTTGATTCAGTTAAGATAGAGAATTGTTGATTGATGGCTTCTTCAATGTCTATATCCTTGTCTTCATGCTTTTATTTTAGGAATAATTCCTAACACATTTCAAGCAGAATTGCCATACTACCTGAATATGAATATGTGAATTGAATCCAGACAATCTGCTGAATTATTGGACTATAATCAGGCTAAGTTAATAATTAGATACAAAGTAATTTGTCTAGAGGTAGGCTTTATTATGTATTTGTTAGTAACGTAATTGGTCTTTTTAATGTTTAGTATCATGCTAAAATCAGGATTATTAGATAGATAGATTGAAGTGTTTTAGTATCAATTGAAGAAATTGATTTGGGATTATTTTCTCATTAGAAATAATGAAAAACATTTCTCAATGTTCAAATTATTTTCCAGAATGTATTGGATCCAGATAACAGGATATAGCTGTATTAAAAAATACAATAGTTCATTTTTATGGCAAACAAAAATTTGGTTATCATTAGGGAAAGTAATCTTACATTGATCTTTGATAACATTGTGATATGGTTTTTCTGTAATTATTTTTGTAAACAAATGTTATTACTGATAAATTGAGATTTTATATTGTGTATATTTTTAATAGTGATACAATATTTACTTAGCATTGAAGGTTAAATTATAGCAATTTGATGACAACAAAATAAGTTTTAAAAGAATTTTATTTAAAAATTAGATTCACAAGTATTTGAATATAAACCTGCCTAAACTGTTTAAGTTACCCAGTAAAATGGTTAACCTTCTATTACTTATTCAAGCTTTTATAATAATCATCACTTGTTAGGAGTTTGAATAAAATTAATGATTTTAGAAAAATATGTGAAAATTAGCATTATGCTGTCATTTAAAAGATTAAACTGAGTAAATTTAGGAAACCAAATCTATTCTTTATTCAGTAACATTTATGCATTCTCTGACTATATTCAGTAGTATGAATATAACACAATTATATAGAGCCCAAATTTAAAATTTATTATATTCAGAATACAGATATAGAATAAAAATGTAATTACTGTATTTAGAAAAATTTCTACAAATAAAAATATTAGAAACTTTAAATTTGTTCATAAAACTATTAATTCAAAATTGTTAATTTTTTTTGATTAATTATGTAAAATGTTTAATATTATGTATGTATAGCTTTTTCAATCTCTAATTTTTGAAAATATCACAATTTATCATAGAAACATAAAATTGTTATGTAACTAAACTTATATTTATATATATTCTTTTATACACTCAAAGATAAAACTTTAGAATGTGATAGCATTTTTAATTCTTGATTGTCATCAATTACTAACATTACTAACTTATATAATTTTATTCTTTATAATACAATTAATACATAATAAAAAAAAATTTAAAGTTTGCTTATGATTAAAAAATATATTGGAAAAACTAATATTTATTGGAGGTATCTGCATTTTGTTTAATACTCTTTCATCAGATAAAGTTGCTGCACTTTAAGATAATTCAAACTGATATCAATTGAATTTATCAAACATTTATCTTTACAAGAAAATACTTGAGAGGAGAATGGCTTATACTTATACATCTTAAAATTATAAACTAAATTAAGGCTTCTGGTATCTGTCAGATACCATACAGTATTGAAAGTTTATAGATTTTAAAAAAAAAATTTTTTAATTCAGTAATAATTCAGTTTTAGTAAACATTATTTTGTCAATATTATTATTAAACTTAGTCTGTATTTTGTGTAAATTTTCAGTATATTCAGATTATAAAATAAATAATTATTGATATTAAATTATTAGAAATATTACTATTTGAAGCATGCAATGTCATGTTGTGAATGCCATTTTTCTCTAAATATATTTTATTGAAGAATTGCATTCTAAATTCAATGCTTTCTTCTGAAAAAAATATTGTGGTGTTATTTGCACTGTAAGTGGCTGTATTTTAAAGTTGAATTCATGTGAAGCCATAACATTTAAAGCAGCAAAGTGTAAGTCACGTAACTTTCGGCACCTAAAACGTTACAGCTTATATTTAAATCGTTTTGATATTCCAGAGAATTTGTAACCTAATGAGTTTTTCCATTTTATTGTAAAATTGAAATGAATTCATTCACTAGAAAAAGTGTTTTTTGGCATTTACAACATTGACGTTGCATGCTTCATATATTAAAATAATAATATTTTATGAATTTTTATTCTTAAAAAGTTATTCTTTATATATTAGAGAACCAAAAAGGAAAAAATTTCTCATTTCATTTTTTCTTCTACATCACTATTCAATATTTAATGCTTTCTATATTCACTACAGGCTTTATTTATGTACTAATAATAAACTTTTCATGTCCTAAAAGTTGCTTATTTAATATAAATTTCTCATTATATGATCCTGTGTCCTGATGATGGATGATTATCTGAAGGTGCTCAGTGTTTAATGCTTTCTATATTCACTACAGGCTTTATTTATGTACTAATAATAAACTTTTCATGTCCTAAAAGTTGCTTATTTAATATAAATTTGTCATTATATGATCCTGTGTCCTGATGATGGATGATTATCTGAAGGTGCTCAGTGTTTAATTTTTGTGTTTTAATGCTCTACAAAAAAAAATAGTAAAATGATTTTCTGTAATAATAGGGGTTTCTAAATCAACCCTGAAATATTTGAAGATTTTGCATCATCTTTATAAACAAAATTAATAAAATGATTGCTTAGCAATACATTAAATATAATTTTATCAAAATATAAATAGAAAAAAACTATTTTGTACAATAAAAAAAAATGAAATTTGTTCATTATATAAATCTATAAAAAAGTTAACTTTAAATCTAAATTAGTTAACAATATACTTTGGTTAATTTAGATAACAATAATAATTTACCAAATTGAATTTTGCAAATAAAATGAAAACTGAATGAATCTACTTTTTAATGTATTGAGTTTAATAGTATAGTGCTTTTCATAATTTATTATACTACAATAATGAATAAAGTCCTAAATAATGTAACGGGTGGCCAATCTGCGGCTCGTGAGCCATATGCGGCTCTTCGAAGGATTATTTGTGGCTCTCAATAAATTTACTGTACCCAAGTTCCCTTTTCATTTTTGTGTTATTATATTTTAAAAAATTATTATCATCCGTATGTGTTTCAAATGTCTTTTAAATTACTAACAACAAATATGAAAGACTAAGTGCAACAAATTTCATTTCCGTCCAAGTTAAGAATGATATGACTCATCGAAAACTGTGTGAACGAACATAAACAGTGGCGTAATCGTCCGTTATCGACTGACTCCAGACTGATTTTGAATTTGNGTTTTTTTAAATATTTAATTTTTATCAATACTTAATTTTTAAGATTTCTCTAAATAAAATAATTCAAATATTTTGGAAATTGATCTTATCGATAAGTCTTAAATACTATATCTAGATAATAATTTGATATATCAATCTAATAGTAAATACTCAAGGGTAAAAATTTTATTTCAAATAATTTTTTTTTTAATTTTTTAGTATGGAACAGATGAATTGAAACAAATGAATGTTATCTACATGTTACTTTATATTGCAAAGTAAGTGTTTAAAGAAAATGTATTAAGTAGGATATTTTCTAATTTAAAATATAAGCAAAATAGTTTTTCTAGTTAAATATTAAAAAAAATAATTAAAAATGAAGTATTATTTTTTTCCATTAAAGTGTTAATTTAAAAATGTTTAAAATATTTCAAATTAGTGGAGACTAAAGTAATAGTTTCATAGATTCATTGTTTACTTACATATTGAATCTATAAAAAAAGAAAATGAAAAAAAGACATAAAACAATAGATACACATATACTTTTTATAGTTGCCAAGTGTTGTAGTCATGATTATAATATACCTCAAATCGTTTGTAAACTATTAACTCTTACATTATGTCATAGACATTATTTTAAACGTATCAATATTGGCCTAAGCTGGAACTAGACAGTAACTAGATACACACAAAATACTTATGTACTTTTCTAGGAAATTACTCTTTAATCAAACTAATGTTTTTGGCTTTATTAATAAGCCTTCAGGTTTTTTGAAACAAGATTCAATTTGAAACAATATTTAAAATTCCATTAATTTTAGAACGATTTTAAATTTGTGTTATTTTAGAACAATATTATATTCCTTAAAAAAAAATGTAATATCATTCTAAAATTAACAAAATTTTAAATATTGTTCCAAATTGAATCTCATTTTTAAAAAAAACCTGATAAAGGCTTATTAATAAAGCTGAAAACATTAGTTTGATTAAAGAGTAATTTGCTGGAAAAGTACATAAGGTATTTTGTGTGACTCTAATTACTATTACATGACTTGAGAAAACTTTCCATTCTTAAACATTTAGAAAAATTGGGGATTTTCAAGGCTGGTAGAAATAAAACTGCCATCAATTATAGAGATAATGATATCCTATCTATGACTTGGAGAGCTCTATATGAAATATGATATTGTTATGTGAGCTTATGTCATCTATATAACATCTAATGAAATGGCATTTTAAAGAATTTAAAATCTGCATTTAATTGCATGTGTTACTTTCAAATTTTTGTAAAACCTGAAGATGGCTGTTTTAAAACAACTGAAAACATTTATTTTTATTTAGATTATAAAGATTAGTGTTATAAACTGCTGAATTTTTGGTTTTTTGAGTGTTTTTATTCTAATATGATAGTTGTCCAGTCCCAAACAGAATTTGTCACTAATGTTGATATGCTGCCAGTCATGACAATCTATGCTTCTCTGTCATTGCACTGTGGCTAATGGGGTGATAATCACGGGATGTATGGTAGTTGTCATGTATATAAATCTACCTCTACTAGTTGCCTGCCATGGTATGGGAAGTTGGGGTTCTGTAGAAAGGCTTTCACCTGTCTTTGGATGATGAACAAAGATACTGTTGCAGCTGTTAATGTATACAGTAGAGCGTCGATTTTCCGAATCAATTGGGGACTGGGGTTGTCCGGGTAACTGATATTTCGGATAACTGATTTACGTACGAAAAAATAGTTTAACATATCCGATGTCAAAATTTTTCTCCATTGCGTGTCGCTTCGCGTTGAATTTTCGTCGATGTTAAGTCTAACAAAGACTATTGTATCGTTAAAAATTATTTTTTTATTTTGTACAAACAAAATAAATATATTGAAAAATATAAAAATAATAATAAAAATTATACTTCAGATGTTAATTTAGTATCAAAAACGTAAAATATTTGAGTAGCCCAAGACATAGCCAAAGATTGAAGCACCACAGCTCTGGCGAAAATTNGAAATCAAAATTTTTTTTAAAAGATCAGTTTTTAGCAACAGTCCATTCACTACTATTGGATTCAGATTATTCCAGCACATGTCAATGAAGTCTGTATTTCCCTCTATACTGTATATTACAAAGTCTTAATTATATAGTCTAAATAAATATTACAATCTTGGACTTGCTAAGCTATTCATTTTTTGTAAAGTGGGATCAGATGGTTTTAACTGACTTAGAGACAGTTTTATTACAGAAGAATCTTGTTTTGCCATTTTATTGCAGATAGAACAAAATTTTCATGCCAAAGACTTGCCTCTAGGCTCTTACTGCTCAAAAAATTAACAGACTTAATTTGTGTTAGCAGAAAGATGATTATCTGAACAACAGATTAATGCAAAACAACGGAAGTGAAAAAGTAGTGACTCTTGTTCTCTCTTCACAATTTGTTTTTGAGAGTATTTATAATTTGATCCTATTTCATATCTTATTCCTCACTTACAGATATTTCATCATTTAAGTACAAATATTTGTCAAAATTTACATAATCTAACTTGTCTGAGATATGATTATTTTTGTCATTAGTTTTAGTTTTTGATTAGTTTCTAAATTGTTTGGTTCAATGTCACAAGTGGATGTATTCATAGACACTTGGCAATTTTCATCATCAACTTTTTATTTCACAACTTTATTTGTCGAGATGCGTTTCGGGCTTTAGCCCCTCTTCGGTTGGCTACACAATAAAATATAAATTTAAATTTCTTATATTACATAATATTCTATTATGACAATTAAAGACATACCATTATATTCTGGAATAACATATACATGACAATCGAAAATACCATTACATTGTCATATATGTTATTTCAGGATATAATGGTATGTCTTTAATTGTCATAATAGAATATTATGTAATATAAAAAATTTATATTTATATTTTATTGTGTAGCCAACCGAAGAGGGACTAAAGCCTGAAACGCGTCTCGACAAATAAAGTTGTGAAATAAAAAGTTGATGATGAAAATAGCCAAGTGTCTATGAATTCACCCAGTCGTGAATTGAACCAAACAATAAAAAGAAGACAGTTTCGACATACAACTAGTTTCTAGATGTTTATTGATTACAGTCAGTGCTGTGGAGTCAGTGCACAAATGTTTTGACTCTTGACTCCTTTGATTCCAACTTCTTTATTTACATATCAACATAGGATATAAGTAATAAATACACTAATTGTATATATATATTTTTTACATCAATTGAATGTGTGCAACATACATTCATCACTATCAATGGGAATTGTCCGACTACATTTTAGAACCATAATCTGTTAAAGTTCAGAGTTATTGATAGTTAATTTTTATTGATTCCAACTCTGACTACATAGCCCTGATTTACAATGTAGTCAATACTGATTTTTAGTATTATATTAACTTGTATATATTTTATTTTTTTAATCTTTGTGCTGTGGCACTAAAAGCATTTTTTCCACCTTTCCATGGGTTTGACCAGGTTGCAATAGGATAGCTGGATAGTAAGAAAAGGAACCTAATATATCTGGTCTGTCTACTCGTGAAAATTTTAGCAGATTCAGACTTGAGTTACAGTAGCTGCATATGGCTGAGGCAGTAAGTAGACCTTGGTATCTTTACTGCCTCATCTATCTAGTTTTCATTTTTTAATATCAACAATGTATATTTGCTTTCATTTTATATTTAAAGCTGATTTTTGCATCATTATACTATAAAATAAACAAATGATATAATAATTAAAATATCAAGCAACAAGTTGTGTGACTTTCCAGCAAAAACACTTAAAAGGTGGCACCACATTCAATTTTATTTAAAAATTTTTTATAGAATTAATTATTACAGTATAAAATGGGAAAAAGCTTAATTGTGAGGGTAGATTTTTATTAAAAACAATTTTAATTGCTATTAACAAATAGAATCTTAGGTCCAACCTCACTTGAGATATGACAAACAACTCCCTCTATCTTTTCATCTCCTTGATCTTTAACCACAAAAATTTATTAACATCAATTCCCATAGTACAAAAACCTATCTGCTAAATTTTAGAAATTTTATACAAAAGACGCAAGATTTATTAAGTTTTAAAGTGGGAAACAAAATCGTATCAAATGTGCTAACATACAGGAAAAAAAAACACCAAATTTTTTTGCATTTCAATGTTTCAAGATCCCAAGTCCAAAAATGTAAAAATGTTGGGGGGTCATTTTATGATTGATTGCAATACTTTATTTTAGTTTATTAATGATGTTTTTTAAATGAGGGATTTAATATTTCTTATGTGAATATTTTCTTACTTTATCAAGAAATTGTTGTTGCAGTTAATTTAAATTAGATTTTGTAATGATATAAATTAAAATATTTGTGTAAGTTTTTTTATTTATAAATATTTAAATTTTTGTAGGAAACAAGGTTTTAAAGAATTATATAAAGGAATGGAAGCAAAAATTCTTCAGACAGTTTTGACAGCTGCTTTGATGTTTCTTTGTTATGAAAAAATTGCTGCCTTAGTTTTTGCTCTTCTAAAAAGAAAACAAAGCTTAAGTCATTGAAATTTTATCTGCAATTAACATAATTGGCATTAGAATATTTATATTTTAATATATTGTAACATAAATTTTAATTTTTTTATATTTTAAAATTTATAATTTATTATGAAAGTGTAAATTAGTCTGAATATAAAACACTATCTAAACTTAATGAATTTATTTTTAGGTTGCCAATTATTAGACAGAAATCTAATACATCTAAATGTAACTAAGAATAATATAAATTTATTGAAAGATTAGTAGCCTAAATTATAAAATATTTAATCATATTATTACTAGTAATCGTAATAGTTGTGAATTAGTTTATATGAAATTTTATAAGATTCTTCAATATGATGATAGTTTTTTATATTGTGTAGTATTGCATTTTTTAAGCCCTCTTACATATTCAAATAAAAAAATCTTGAAAAACACAATGCATACTAATAAATGTCTTAATAAATATTTGAGTTAAATTAACTATTGTTGACAGAAAAAAAATTGCATTTTCTGTGTAGACTGTTTGATATCCTACATGATCATCCAAATTTTACAATACTTTTGTAGTTTTATCTTCACATTATGGCAAATTCACTTCTCTTCTTTACCAGAACAAATCAATTTTGATTAAATAAATAAAGTAGCAAAATATCTTAACATAGAAAAAGGATTATTCCAGTATAGAAATTTATAACAACTAAAGTGGTTTTTTCTGTATATTTCTATGTAAAGACTAACTTAAATAATATGATTGTGACTAAAATTTGTGGTCTCCATATTGTTTTTATAAGGTAGTAAGAAATCTCATAGCTACTTAAATTTTTTCTATTTACATATGCAAATGACTCTGTTTTTTCTATTACTCTAATCTACTTTGTAGTACCTATTTACTATTTATTTATTTAAAATTTGCAGATTTGAATTATTAATGATTGATTGGATTAAAAGATTAAAATTAATAAAAAATGCAGAACATCAAATATTAATTACATTTGAAAAAGTTGTAATCTGTTTTAATTAAATATCACTTATTATAATTTAAAATTAGGTTAGTTAATAAAATTATTTTTTAAGTAACAATTTATTATTATTGAAACCCTGCACAAATGCAAATATCCATAATAATAACGATAACAGATTAAAATTGGATACGAGCCACGCAGCAGATAAAAATGCGGTAGCCAATCTGCAGTTTGACATTTATTTAGTAATTTAAAATCACTTCGGAGATTTAACAGTAAAAGAAAAAAAAATAGTTATTTAATAATTATGCTAATATCATAAAAGGAATTTCAAAGTTAATTTGCATTCAAACGATACAAGTTAATTAAGCCTGTACTCTTTTGTAAATTCAAGCGTGAATTCCGAATTTTAATGTTTTGTATTAATTGCTCCTCGTCCTTATTCTATAAATATTATAAAAATGTCCACCAGAACCTTACTTTAAGGACTTGTTACATCATTGTAACACAATTCTGATACAACAAATATCTAAAAAAAATGATTATTGTTCTCTAATTGTGCACTCCTCCTTGATGTAACAGGTCCTTAAACAAAGTAAGGTTATAGTGGACGTTTTTATAATAATTTTAATGCGATTCGAAAGATGTTTTTGGGTTTCATCCGAATTTTATTTTATACAAGCGATTCTACTGCTTCAATATTTATTGTAATATAATGAATGAAAATCATCATCGATCTTGAACTCTGTTATATTCCGTATATACGGGACGATTCAAAAGTCGTTCATCCGAGATAAAAATATACATGGGACCTTCTGTGAGATCGACTCATTTTCCTTATACTTAAACACTAGTTTTCCCTTTTAAAGAAGGTTGTACCAAACATAAATAAGTCCATAATTAATATAAGTTATGCTTAATAATTTCCTAGCAGTTCATAAAAGTAATAAATGAAAGATATTCACGAATGGATCAATTTTTATGTAGAATGAAAACAAACACCGCATATTGTTAATCTTTTAACATTTAATGGTGTTGTTTAGCGCCTGTATGAAAGTATGGCATTAAAATATAGCAGGATGTTGCTGTGTTCTCAGTATTAAGAGTAACGCTATTAAGAATGTTTTAGTACATATCATTTGTAGAGCTAAACAGGTACTAGGTAGTGTGTGTGTGTGTCGTATACTAGTGGTGATGATTTAGCATCATTTTACATTGTTTACAGGAAGTTTTCGGAGGAGAAAGATGCTTAATCTGTTCGAACAGATGATTTACTTCTACACTTTTTAAGCGGAAGAAAAGATGATCGATAGGTCCGAGCTAGTTTATCTGAAAGAGCGTACTTTATACTAATACATCTGGATAATATCGAATTAGGCGTGATTCCTTCCATCGTAATATAGTGGGATAGTATTTTATCGAGATCCGCGCTTCACGTATTTCCGGAATGAACGTGTCGCCAATAAAACAACTCGTCTTAATATCTCCAAAAATCATTATATACGGTACACCAGCCTTTCAGTACAATAAAATGGTGATTTATTATGCGCCTTTCTAATATGTAAGTTTAGTTAAGTGGTGATAAATTCCCGAACTGCAATGAAATCGGATAGCATGATGATGATGATACAATGCTTCATTTTTCGACTGGAAGATCATTAAACGAAATTTGCACGTAGCTTGTGTATAAGGAGCATTGATGTTATTAAATTTTGGTGGTTAGAAGAGGGTCATATCTGAAGAGTGATGATGATATTTCATTAAAAAATTGTAAATGCTAACAAACTCATCACTACCCTCAAAATTAAGCTTTTTGCCATTCGACGATAGTTAAAAATATGAGATTTTGTATTAAAAAGTTATAAAAGATTGCGCCACATACAATTTACAATTTTATTTAAAAATAACTTTTATATTATTAATCTCAGCAGCTGGAAAAGTTACGCAACTGGTTGCTGGATTTTTTGACTTTCTGGATTCGGGGATGGATCTCAAAACGTGGCAATTTGCAAAAAACTCTGTGGGTCAAATTTGACACGATTCCAATGCTTTTACATAAGGGAAAGGGCAAATAGCACGGAACAGTTATTAAATAGGATCGTTTTATATAAACGATTTTTTAAATTGCATTTGTCCATGTTAATCGTAATTATCGGTTTGACATAACAACTTCCTACCTATCAACTAGAAATGGGATAAAGACTGATTTGTAGAAACGATAAGGATCCTCCTTATTGAATCGTCAAAATTGATTTTCCTTACTCGCATTCCTGGAATCAAACATCAACTTATTTCTTTTTTATATTAAAATAATTTAAATTCGTGTATGTAACTTATTATAAATATTTTGCATTATTTATATGCGCCCAAGATATGTTAATTCTCAATCTCCGATAAGTCGGAACACACATCGATATTCTCTGAGTGAGTGCGATTCAAATCCTCGGTGGTTAACCGACATTCCGACGGATCAGATCCATCGTTTAACATCTGAAACCATGAGGACAGAGAAGCTGGTCCTCATCCATCGTTTACTCTTAAAAAATAATTTTAAAGGTTTTTCTGAAGGTAAAAAGTTCTTAGTCTAACTTTGGGTTACTTTAATTTCATTTAAAATCGATATTGTTATAAGTTCAATGCTTTAATATTAAAAGTACTTGTGATTTTGGAAGACTGCGACAATATTAAGACTGTAGGAAAATTTGGCTTTCCGTTTACGATACTGAACCCTGAGAGAGAGAAAAAATCTAGCAACGAGTTTCTTAACTTTCCCAGGCAACATTTGGTGGCGCCATCTGTTGTTATATTTTATTATTAAAAACTTTTTATATTTTTTAACTTATAAAATGACAAAACCTTAATTTTGAGGGTAGGGATGGGTTTTATAAAAAAAAGTTTTAAATGCTAATAAGTAAAATCGTCATTAAGTCCGACCGTAATGGAGATACACACGATTCCCTTTATAGTCTTGGGGAGGTCATTTTTGACCGATCGCCATACTTTCCCTCTGTTACATATAACAGTGGGAAAGTAAAAGTTCATTATCAAAGCCAGAGGACTCATTCTTGAAGTATGTTCGTCCTCGAAAATCATACAGGCCAACGGATTATTTGAGAGAAGAATTAAAAAATTGGAAGGACAAGAAGTGGGAAGTGTTATCAATTCTGATTCGAATTTTAGTGGGAAAACTGTGATGACCATCTGCGTCGAATTCTTGTGGAATAGGGACCTGACTGAGTTTTAGATTTCAATTTTCTATTAGATACAATGGAAGAAAGTTTTCGGTCATTCACCACGAAAGGCGACTAATTAATGGCGAATATCTGCATTGACAATGGCATCGATATTCGTCAAGTGATGCATGGTTGTGCATCCGTTGCAAACTATTGGACGATCGGCTCTGCGTAATAACGGGGAAAACCACTGGAAAAATATGTCTGCAATATTAGCAAATGAGAAAAAAAGCGGTCATCGTACCACAAACTTTCAAGAGTATCCTTGCTCGGACGAGTTTATTATTGGCAAACTTACGTGGACAAGGATACGACGATGGGAACAATTTGAAAGGAAAAACAGTGATGTAAAGCAAAGACTTTTAGATATTAATCCAAGGCTTTTTTTATGGTACCTTGCAATAGTCGCGCACTAAATCTTGCAGCAAATGATGCTAGAAATGCCGTTTTGCTGTCACATTTTTTAAAACTCGGGTATGAAGATTTCTGCTTCAACTCACTGTTGAAAAGTTCTGCTGCGCGACGTGTCTTCTTTAACACTAAAACTACTGGGCGATGCTAGAATTGATGCTTCGCATCACTTTGGCTTGGCGTTACACACGATGCCCTCCTAGACATTTACGAATATCTATTACTATGACAAAACCATCTGGTACTCTATCGCGAGTTGAAGCACAACGAATTGCTAAGAGAATTGCAAATTTCAATGTTATGTCTGTTGTGTGGTACAGCATTCTTTATAAATTAACTTGTCAACGATAGATTTAACCATACCGAGCAAATAATCCGTTTAGATTTATCTACAATTTTCACAAGAATAGAGAATAATTTAATAAAGAAAAATGCATTCGAATCCTCTAGAGGGACAGGCATACGAATTTTCGTGAGTTGATTGACCTGTCGGGCCTTCATTCATTATTAGGCTCTATTATAGGCCCGATAAGATCCACCATGGGTATAGAAAAAGGCCTCTTGGTGGCTGAAAGTGCAAAGTTGAAGTTCAATAAAATTTTTATTAATCCTATTTTAAAAAAAAATGTAACTTTAAATAGATTTAATCTGTTTGATGGTTGATATTAAAGATGCAAATAAATAATGCATAATATGATTAATTTACTTGTGGACATTCACGGGACATTTTCGATGCAATTTAATCCTCGGAATCTAAAAACGAAAGATTCATGAATTAAATATCAACGATTAAATTGATTTCGGGCGTTCTTGAATATATAATTAAAACCGTATTTTTTTTGAGGTTGGATCAATTTCCAATTCGATTTTATAATAAAATTTTATAAAGAATAAAGGGAAAAATAAATATATTAGAAAACATGTAAATTAAATAACCTTTTTACTATAAAAGAATTACGTTTTAAACATTTTTCTTCGATTAATTTTGAATGGAATCGACGATTTAGAGTGTCGTAAAAGACAAAAATCTTTATTACATTATACGTAATATAATTTAATAACAACAATAATAAACAAACTTAATGGGAGAAAGGATCTAACAACGAAGCTGGTATATCGGATCTTTAGGCCCCAATTTAAAAGGAGAAACATTTTAAAAGGGAAAGGGTGATCGCTTTAAAGAGGCCCAACAGTGACCGAGTGGGTTTACGCCCGATCAATGGGCTGGCGCGTAAAGTTTTGCAAATAATGTGAAGAATTGGTATTTTAATACGTGTAATAAAGATTATGGGCAAACTATTCTCTTTTAAAAGCATAAAAATTTGGCTAATAATTATGTTAGTGTTACTTCAACTGAGTTTATATTTTCAACCGTTTCATTCCCCTGTCAAAACTTATCGCTGTATTTTTAAACAATTTTATAACTGTAATTTGTCGATAATGTTGATTAAAATAGATTTTTATGTTTGAATTTAATAAAGAAGAATAGAGAAAAAATATTTTCGATGGGAGAAAGTTTCACTTTCCACTTTAATCTGTCTGAAAAGTAACTCTATTGCCATTATTGTCGAGACCTTTTCCCATATAAAGTAGTTAGATGGACTTTCTGTCTCTTTTCTTCTCTGTTTTTCCTCGTTTCTTTTTACATTTTCCTCTCTTTCCTGTCTCCTTTTATTGAGTTTTGCAACTCTTTTTGGCTTTCTTAAGCGAAACATTCCATTTTCGGCCACTTTATTTTTTTCAAACCATTGTTTTTTTATGTGAACGACCAACTTAAACCCATTATTGGGCTGCAATTTGAAAAAAATTGTAGACCTATAAATTACCACTGTCTGTCTGTCCTTCCTTAATCTCGAGAACGGAGTTAGATAGATGAAAGTCGAGACCAGATATGGAAATACCGGATTAACTACATACGAACTTCCAGTTTGGACCGTAAGTTATGTTATTTCAATTGAAAAATTTCCCCCGAAAGGAGTTAGATAGACGACCTTATCATTTAGAGCTTGAATTGAGCCCATATTAATTCCTAAATTCCTATACTGTATATAGAAATGCACGCCGTTACGCTTTAATTATTCCTAGAAATACATTAAAACTGTTACATTCGAGGATGCAAATCTCCAAAGAAACAATTTTAAAACTTAATTTAATTTATTCTTAAAAGTAAGAGATTTTTTTAATATAATTATTTCAAAATTAATTAAATTTGTAATGAAATTTTATATTTACCGTATGAGAAAAAATGAATATTTGAAAGAGAGAGAGAGAGATTATAAGATTAAGAAACAAAAGAGAATGTGTAAAGAGGATAATAGGGATATAAGGCAGACAAAGAAAGTACACTTAAATAGACTGAGTGAATCCTTTCGCAATTCCACAGATTGAAAAAAATGCGTAATGATACACGGTCTATAAATGTAATGAAAATTACATTCAAATTCCGATTTAGTGCCACCGCTTGTTCCTAAATTGGCACTAAATCGAGTGTGGCAATAATCCGAAGTGGCTCAAAAAACAAGAATTGTACAGTACATAGCCCGTGTCAAGTTCGAGTTTGAAAGTCGTGTGACTAACAGCCTCTGCAGAAGGGGAGAAAAGGGTCCTCCTCCGCAGACTTGTCCTCCCTTGGGATCGAATGAAAAAATCCCCAAATTATAATCTTTAAAGTGATTGAGGTATGTAACCTTACACCCTCGACAATGGGACGTTTTTGTAAGTTAGCTGACTTTTATGGGAGGATCGTTAAACCCGCGTCAGGATGATCTAAGGATGTTCGTGCGTGTGTGTGGAGAAGACAGAGATGACAAGTATCTTACAAAAACCCGTTTATTTTAGCATAAAACAAACTTACACAAATATTTCAGAACACAATCGACTGGTTGGAAGTCCTTAGCGTCGATGTTGTCTTGTTCACTTCCTGAGCGTCGGTGTTATTTTTGTTGTTCGTTGTCGAGGTGGCCCCGGGGCAGTATTGTTAAACAGTTCGTGAGACAGGTGGGCGGCACGGCTTCAGTATCGGCACGAAGACGGAAAGCTTCGTACCAAGTGTGTCAACGTCTTCGTGCTTTGGAACCTTTTCGGAGAGTCCTCGTGTCTTTGAAGACCTGGATTATATCAATCTCCGTTTTCTCCCTTTTGTCTATCCTGATTGGTTACACGTCCCCTTTTCCCGTCCCCGATTGGTCCCTGGTCTGTCCCTAAGTGAAAGACGAGACCTGTTCGGGCCACCAGAAGGAAGGGTCAGCTTTGGAGAATCTACCCGATACCATTTGTTAACTCTTGACGAAAAGTGTTGATGGAACTTTGAGCTTGCGCTCATATTTTACCTCGTTGTTACTTAGATTCTTTTTTTTACGATCTGAAGCGATGTCCCCTTTTATAATTAACCTTTTCCCTTTTCCAAAATTTTCTATGTTCTAATTGCTTGTATACGAGCGCCTTGTCAAAGGTCCATCTCTACAAATCCAATAAATAAATAAATTAAAAGAAAAATACTTATTATTATTATTTTATTTATAAGTAGGGCCTCTGGAGATGGAGAGAGATCGTGTTTTCAGTGCACTAGGAAAACAATGGAATGAATAATTTGTAACCAGAATCAGATTTAGATGTGTTGTACTCTAAGCCATAATATAGGCCTACGAGGCCCTTCCTCCAGTAAACAAAAATAAATTTAAAAATGTATGTTAAATATAAACTGAATGGAGCATATAGTTAGAGACTTCAATAGGCATAGGTCTATATATATCAAGTTTTTGAGAATGAAGCGAGACCCTTCGTAACTTGAGGCCCTAAGCCGTTCTTATTTAGCTTACATATAAATAGGACGCTGTTTTTGGGCTCTCTGAATGTAAGATTCGAGCCAAACGGTCCCGTTGGACCTCCTTGCGATAGGACCTAATTATAAGAATTATAAGAAAACCTATGGCAAGAGGGCTAGCAGGTCCTTACCGCAATAAAAACGTCTTTATCTCTTGAAAGAAGTTTTCAGTTTTGTTACTTTATTTTATTCATAATACAGGAATTTATTCAAAAAATTTTCTAGACATTGATTGACTCCCTCAAAGACAAATTTACATTGTTCAGGCCCTAAGCCAATAGACTAGGAGGATATCATATATTCTAGTTTAGGGCCGCGACAGACAGGATCGAATTTATGTTTTTAAATTTATAATTATTTATCGGAGATAAGGGCCTCTTACACGTTATAGCTTAGGACCGCAACAAACGGAGTCGGAATTAGGCATAAAGCTACAGTTAGGGCCTCACGCCACCGGGCTACAGTTTAAAGTTTCCTGCTTTTAAACATATCATTTGACGAAGAGAAAGGCCTCATATATTATAGTTTATGGCCATACGGGACTAAATTTGACCCTAATTCCTGCATAAATTTAATTAATAAAGACGAGTAAGCAAAAAACACGAGCAAATATTTACCGTATGCCAATATATTTAAAGCGATGCATTGAAGTAAATTAAGTAGCTTCCACTCTCAATTAATAGAGAAAAGTAAAAGGATAATATTATCCTTTTACTTTTCTCTATTAATTGTATAAATATATCAGAAAAAAACCCTTCTTTTTCCTCCGTCAGGAGAGGAATGTTTCTTTAACAAGTTAAAATAATACAGAAATCTCTTGCGAATTTATATATAAATTCGAGTTAGAAATCATTTATTCGAAGAAGAACGATTTAATGAAGATGTTTTATTGTTTAAGAATTTTTTTAAAGGAGAAAGGGTATGGTGTAAGGCCTTGTTGCATTTTTTAATCTCTTAGGAATTATAAATTAGACCCATTACGGAGGTGGAGACGAAATTAATGCGCGTAAATCATTATTTGGAGTATTTTGTTATGTGGATTCTCGCATGGCAAGAGATTGAAGTCAGTCGATTTTTCGCGGTGCGGAGGGAATTCGACGGCGCTCTTTGCTTCTGTTCGGGAAAGGGGAGAATGCTTCCGTAGGTAGTATACGTCAGAGATGTTTCCGGAAATACCGACGGATCGATTTCCGGGTTAGGATGGGAGAGAGAGCCGTAACACTAAGAAATGTGGAGGAAAGGAGCCGGCGGATAGGTGGTTGGCGTAGTAGCGCGGCGGCGCGGCGCGGCGCGGCGCGCCGATCGATGGCGGCGAGAGGAAGGCGAGTGTGGCGCCGTCTCCGTCGGTGGTCCGAGATCGATCGGACGCAGCCCGGATGGAGGAGAAGGAAGCCGGAAAGTGCGGATGCCGCCCGAGAGCGTCCCGCGGCCGTCTCTCGGCGCTCCCCCGCCGCTGGCTGGTAGCGGGCGCGCTTCTACTGGCGATCGGCCTGCTGCTGCTGGTGTGCGGCGCTTGGCCCAGCCCCGTCGGCGGTGCCCTGTTGCTGAGCGGCGCCCCCATCGCCTGCTTGGCCCTGTGTCTACTCGGATGGCTGCCGATCTACCTCCGCTGCCGTTCCACCCCGGCCCGGCCCCAAGCCGACTCTCCCGACGCCGTCGACGCCTCCAAGTCCGACTATCCCATGGGTCCTCTGGTGGTGCTCACCCTTCCGACCACCGCCAGCCCCGAGCCTTCCGACGCCGCATCAACGGGCCCTCGAGACGGCACCGCTTCCACCCCCGATCTTCTGGGAAGAAGGTAAATTATCCATTCGTCTTCGCGCCATTTCTTTCTCGCGACAGACATTCCTCTTCTCTTTTATTTTTCCTCTTCCGAGTGGCAAATTTTCCTCCCACGTAAAAACCAGCTAATAGAATAATAGAGCGACGCCCGCCTCTAATCTGGCGTGAATATTGATTTTCGCGCCTCTCGCCTCCGCTTAGTTACAAATCTCGGAAGATGAAAAAATAATAATTCCGACGGGATTCCCTTTTTCCGAAAAATTCCCCTCCCAACGCGCATTCATCACCTTAAATCGCATCTAAATTCGAGCCATCGACATACAAATTCCAATCCAAAAGACCAATTTTAAGCGTGGATGCGGATCCACGCTTAAAATTTAGCCTTAAGCCATAACTTATAACGGGTCCTTCGCCTTCACCAAATAATAATAATAATAATAATAAATTTAAAAGCGCAACTCCCGAAACCGTAACCGCTTAGCTTAAGACCCTAAAATGTAGCGTGTTTACGTTGCAAATCCGGTCCCGTAATGACATTTAAAGCACGCGAAAGCTGGGAAATTTTTAAATTTTTAAGCCATTTTAACTCTTCCTCCATCAAAAAAAACCCCCCATTTATCAACCGAAATAATTTTAAAAATATATATAAAAGCGCGAGGGTTTAATCAAATATTTATTCAGAAATTCAATCTCTTGAAAGTTATCTACGTGACCATTAGATCAATCTAAAGCATTAACGTTACGAAATTTAATTAAAGCACCAATTTCAGAAGCCCTCCATTTGTATGTGCCATTTTCTTACAGCCACAAGAACAAACCTCCTTTAGCCAGTGCCGAGACTCTGACACCCTCTCTGCTATCGTCCAGAGGAAGCGTGGACAGCAACCTTTAAAATTAGGAAATCATCGAGAGAAGGAAGAGTGCCACAATGGTAGCACGTCCCTCGGGAACTTCGATTCTTCTCCAGGCGTTGACAAGAAACTGCATTTCTCGATCCATCTCCGAGGTAACGGGATGAGTCGAATTGACGGATTCCCTTTCGTTCTCCAAAATCTCGTGCCAAAAAATAAATCCACAGGAATGAGGAGAATTCGTTCGCGTAGTTCGCATTTTTTGGCCATTGTCAATGACGTCGGTGGATTATTAATAAGCTTAATTGTTGTCGATGCATCTAGGAAATTATTATAAATCCCCCGCATTTTAAGAGAACGACACGTGTTTTATCAATTTTTATAGATCCGCAGCGCGTGTAATTTCGATATTACGTCACTTTAAAAAAAAACAAACAAATTTACCCGTATTTTTTTCTAAAATTCCGACCGAAAATAGAAGTTTTAGTAGCGTGATGCACCGAAAAAAAAAAAAAAAAACACCGTTCGATGTTTGTAGATTTATAAGCATTTTTGTATGAAATCTTTTGAAGTTTAATCTCTAAAATCCCGGTTGGAAGATGTATTTTTTAATTGTTAAATCCTGCGGTAAACTTTACCACCGAATATTTTTATACCCCCGCATCACTTTAGCCATCTCGTTAATAGGAAATTTTAAGAAAAAAAAAAATACAATACAAAATTTCGAGAGTGAAACAACCGCCGACCGTGGCAAAAATCCACCCCGTTATAACGTATGACGTGAAAAAACTATATACAATATTGTTAAACGTGTAAAAGAATATTTTCGAAGAGATTCGTTGTTTTAAATACAAAGCAACGATACTTATAAAAGACGTTCGTATTTAAAGTTAGGAAAAAAAAAAAAGTAAATTGTCTGTTATATTAATATAATGGAGTAAAATATTTTAAAAAAAATTGTTCGTTATACATCAATTTAAATATTAAAAACTTTTAAAAATTTAACGAGAAACACTTTGCAAGTTTAAAAAATAAAACTAGGGTCGAGCCAACAGTTTGGATCACTTTTAGAAGTCCTATTTACTGTAAACGTTTTCGATTGAATTGTAAATTAATTATAGAGGTGTGTGTGTGTGTGAACCGAGGCCCCACGATTAAAGGGGCCTGCGCTTTATATTACGTCTAGCACGAGACAAATAACGTAGCAATCATATTAAGATATCAACGGATGCCCATTCTGGACCATTAGCGTGTTATAGCTTCGAGGGGTCCGGATCTAATTGGAATTTGGGGCCCAGATAAGCCTACTTTAGACATTTTTTCTCATAAAAGATTGATTTGGGGCCCTCTGTTGGTGCGAGTAACGGGCAATTTCCCTTTTTTTGTCCATAGGATAACGCTCCACTGTTTTGGCCACGGCAGTGTTTATTTCTATTGTTTTATTTGTTTTTTTATAATTTTTAACCATTAGATTTTAAAAAAATAAGTGAAAAACTGGTGGTTTGACCTTATATCGAGTTTTAAATAGTCGTATCGCGTAATAACGCGACTAGGCACGTCGACAATCTATAGACAGATCATGCATTCATCTAATTCATCAACAGCGAGAAAAAAAAATAATAAAATATTTTTCTAGAATATTTAACGATTAAAATTTGTAAAACGAAGAAGAAGAAGAAGAAGAAGGGGAAAAAATTCTATTTGCGAGATGTAAGTTTAATTTAAATGCAAAACCGGAGGCGTCATTTCGTTTATGAAGTTAACGAGTTCATCCAACATCCAATTTCCTGATAAATGCGTAGTAGAAGGGGATTTTTCTCTTTTTCGTCCCCGTATATTTCGTGCAATTCAATAACTGGAGCGACAAAATATTATTTATGTAGGCCTTAATGGATGTAATCTTCGTTTTCTGTTGCATGATGAATGCAGATTTGATTTTACAAATGATTGGAAAAATGTCTCTGTTCAACTCTCTTATAAACGGCAATTAGATTGTGTTGACAGTTAATTAGTTTATGTAAAAGTAATAAAAGTTAAATTTATCTTTTTTTGTATTCATTTTTTTTCATTTACGAAACACTTAAAGACTTCCACAGAAAGGGGCCTCGATCGAATTTACCATTGTTAAGAGGAAATTTCTGTCTTATTTTCTCAGTAGAATTACAGTTTGATTTTGTAACCATCTGAGTAGAGGCAAAATATTATTTATGTAGCGACAAAATATTTGTCGCTACCTTCTAAACCGGGCCCTATATTTGCCTATATATACCTTCTAGCCTTCTAAACCGGGCCCTATATTTGCCCTTAAAACATTTTTATAAATCGATTGGCTGCAACGAAAATGTGCGAAATCCAACAGTTTTTAACAACGAGATTACATAAATATACAATATATTTCGGGAAGAAAACTCCTTGTCTTCTGAGTAAAGTCTCTCTCTGCCTTTCCAAATGATGATTTGTGAGCCGAATTCCATCTTCCATGTTTTTTATGGCCTACAATAAACGTATATTATTTGGTCCGTTCGTATATATAAAGAGAAAAAAATGTCTTTCGATACACTTTCCATCACACTCGTGTAATTGACGATAGCATTTACAGTTATATTACAAATATAATTAAAAACATTAATTAATCTTCGAACAATTTAACCGCATTAAGTACCGAAAAAAGTAATAATTTTCACTTATTTCCGTAAACATTTTTCTTTCTTTCGCTTTAAATATACGTAAGGTATCCTAAAATTCAGTTAACCGAGTTTTTTGACGCAGATTTAAGCTCAGATATATATATAAAAGCGTGTCGAGACGTTGCCAAGAAGGATTTTTGTATGGTTTTTACTCCTTGAGACAAAAACCACGTCTTCAACCGATGGTTAACCGGCTTTTGGTCCACCCTGTATAATTGATAATGCTTTCGTAGAAGTAAATGAAGTTTGAAAATAAATGTGGCTTGTGTTTTCGCAAACAGCTGGCTAATTACGGATGAATAATTAGCAGTAACTTTTGTCGTCGTCGTCGACAACGGAGCCATTTGCGGAAAGATACTCGAGAATTGGACTTGGCAATTTGCATTTCAATGGAACCAACTCTCTCTTTAACTTGATTACGGGAAACTTTAGCTTCCTGTTGAAATTAATTCGGTTATTAAAATAAAAGCCAATTGTTAACTATATCTTTTTAAACGTTATTAACATTATAATTTTCTAAATGTATATTTTATTGTCGAATTCTCACGCTTAATCCTCGTAAAATCAGTCGATTCTCACATCATGTAAGCGGCTGAATGAAAATAGAAATTTAAAGCTTCCATTGTAATTTGAGAATTATCGGATAAAATACGAATAATTCTAATTATTCAATTATTTATTGTGACGTCACAATGCTCTCAATTTAAGTGTCTTGCCTCTGTACATCATACTTTTCCTATTAACACTGGAGTCGTGCCAGTCATCTCCGTTCGGGAGAAAATTTTTGAATTGAAGTAACGTGATTTCCGGTCCAAACCGGAAGTTTGTATATAGATAATCGGGCCCTTCCACCCCTAAGCTTTCTATATCCGGTCACGAGATTACGGTAGGACAGACTAGTAGAAATTTATGGGTCTAACTTGCAGCTCAATAAGGCATGTATGGTGACCCCCCATTAATAGGAATCCCTTTAATGAGCAATGTCACATTAAAGAATGGGTATATCTAGCCATGGCTGGAGGTTCTTTAATGGGTAGGGCCTGAAAAGTGCTTAAAATAGTCCTGGTAATAGGGCATTTATGGGCCTTTAAGAACATTTATTACAAGTAATTCATTTTATTGCATTTCTTATGTACAGCATTAAGAAAACAAGCCTTTATTTTTTTTAAATCAAATTTTATTATTTAAAATATAATACAATTTTTTAACAGTGCTTGGGGGTCTCAAAAAACTAAAAGTAAATAATCTGGGCCTCCCTCGACCTATGTGAGAGACGATCTCTATAAAAATATTGGTACATTATAAATCAACATTATTTAATCAGATTATTCTTAAAATAAAACTGAATGCATTTTTAATACAGGAAGAAATATATTATTTAAGAATAAATTATTTTAAAATGATACTTATCGATATCTCCAGAGTGTGTGTGTATATATTCATAAAAGCTTCCCGATCAATGCTCAAACAATTTATCATGTGATGAAGTCTGAATTGCTTGCCGAGAAATGGTCGATTGTTCGACGATTACAATGAATTTTCAAGGACCGACCTACATGAATCAGACATTTATATCCAAAATCTATATTATATAATCTACACAAAAGGTGATTTTCTGTAACCATATATTACAATCCTTCTATGATTTTTTTTTTTTTTGCTTCCTTTTCGTTACTAGAGGCCCTTCCCCTCTACCAAATAGTAATAAATTTAAATGCGAGGCCCCAAACCGTAGCTTGTTTAGCCTGGTGTTGTGGTTAGTATAGGTATACAGCGTGTCTTAATTTTTTTTAACTATAAATATTTATAATAAATGAGATATTTAAAGAAATAACGCAAGAAACTGCTATTTGAGAGCAAGTAGATGACATTTAAAAGCAAAAAGTGTGTCCGACATGACTTCAATTTATATAAATTTCCATCGATTTTTTTATTAAATTTTTTATCACTTTCCTTTTCTAAATCTATTCTAAGTAAGATTAATCTATTTGATTTTATAAATACTATTTTTGGAACCAAGGAGAGAGCACCGAGAATATTTTAAATTTAACCAGTTACCAATGTTCGATGGTTTCATCCACTCGTCCACTGGTGGATGATGTCAAGATTTGGAACTGATGGACATCACAAAGTCAACCACTTGTTTCGTCTACTGGGCAATCATTGGCAAAACAGATCACGTTTAACATCGATTTATTGATTAGTAGAAGGCGAGGCACCAACACATTAAGGCTATATGGCCAACCACGTTATATTCATTGAAGACTGCCAAGAAGATAACGAGAACTTGGAAAAAGAGATATTGGTGGTCCCAAAGCAAATTAAATAATTAAAAGAAAGTAAGTAAACGAAAAAAAAAAAAAACATAGAGGCCCCTACTTGCACGGGATCCGGGCCATTTTTTTTTTTACCTCTCCCTCTGAGCAGTCCCGCATTCAATACGTTCAGACCTCACAGGAAAGATCAACCAGCATGGGTGAAATATGGGAAATAATGCCCTGATCTGTATTATTCATAAAAATTTATGGCTGTCGGGATCAAATTCGAACCTATGTAAGATTATATCAGTATTATCTACCAAAAACTGTCTCGGCCAAAAAGAAGTCAGTCGGCTTAAAGTTCGAAAAGTGACTTCCTCACGCGACAAATTGCATGGATCAAAATTGTATTTGAAATTCTGATATATTTTGAATAATGAATCATTCACCATGCAGAATCAGCCCATCAATTAGCAACAGAGTAACCCTACAGGACAGTGAATACACATTAGTTACTGTAAACAGTATTCAATTTCATTCTTTTTCATAGTTTCAACGAATTCCAATAGAGCAAATAACTCCTCCTGTGTGCACGGCCTTTCACTTGAAATGCTATCAATAATAATACATATAAAACAAAATTTTAATTGAAGATATCGTATAGATTGTGTGTGGAGAAGTCATCTATGCGGATCTGAAATACTTGTCAGTATTTCAGATCTGCATTGAAACCCGGGCCTTCAGAGTATCTTTATGGCCATACCTCCCCATTGAATACATTGTAGACATGCTTTATTATTTTCAAAATAAAAAATCTTTATATGGAGGAGAATTTAAATAATTTTATTCATACGATAATTTAATTTAATACATCTGTTTTATTGTTCTATAATCATAATAGATTCACTCACGCAATATGATAAACGACTTTTATATATAAAAATTGAATAAAAGATTTTTATAACATTTTTCGTTGATGTTCTTTTCTAATAAACGAAATGTGGAATTCAAAATTAACAAAAATTAAACGTAGAAAATGAGATTTATTTTTAAAATATTTGTGAAATATAATTTTAAAATCATCCAAAACAATTATAATTAATAGAATATTAATTTCTAAGTATTAATAATAGTAGTAAAACTTATAATTTGAATTAAAACAATAAAAACATCAAATAAAATTTATATCTTGCAAATATAATAATATATCTAGAGATGTCATTTTGTAAATTAACAAGCATTGACCTGAGGTGAGGGCCTCGTCCATTACAAAATGCATAAGAAAATCTACAGAAAAGAGATCTTCATACCGTATTTTGTACAAAATATTAAATTTTACAGCTCGTGTGTCCGAATCGCAATTTTATTCTTATTTTTCTTCTTACATTGCGCCACCAGCTTACAATCGACCCATAGACTTGGTGAACTTTGACCTCGAATATCTCGGCCCCTAGATCGAATTTCAAAATTCCTGTTCCGTCACGACATCGGCCTTACCGAGTTGTACATATTTGCAAAAAATCATGTTTAATGGTCTTGCAGTTGTTTTGTACTATGATCACAGATAAAACACTTTGGACTTATGCAGTTCCGCTCGATTTACTTAATTGACAACTATCGTGGATTTCGGTAGGCAATACAGATTAATTTGCATAGTTGGGAGAAGTTCTTCGTTATTTGAAATATAAGGAATAGCCTGTTCTTTCTAGGTAATGCAGTGTTATAAATGCGAAATTACTAAAGATGTATGCTTTCACCAATCTACCAGTGATTGCTGCAGAAGAAAAAAGAATCACCGCTCTAACTGGCAGAAAAGCAGGAGTTGGTCGTCCACGAAAAATATCAGTCTTTGAAAACAGTAGTCTTTAGGTGTCCGTTCTAAAATCGTCAGTGAAGTGAATTACACGTGTGGAAAGTGGCAGGATCAAGTGTAGAATGAACCGCAATCCACACACCTATCCAAGCAGTGAGATTTCAGTCAGAAAACGTAAAGGAAGAAACTTTAACAGAAGGTAACCTTAGACGATATAGATACAACTGAGCACAAGAACAAACACTAGACAGTGAGAAATTAACTAATCTTCAGCGATAAAAGTA